GGGCGATGGATGCTATCCAAAGTTACTCCCCACTTTGGAAGAGGAGACGGCAGGAAATCTCTCTTTGGGAAAGGATGCATATGTGATCACTTATCCACCTTGACTCCTCGGGTGTGTTCCTTCCTTTCTCTCACTCTTATTTTATATTTATGTTCTTTCGTTGAGGACAATGTATGCTTTAAGTGTGGGGGAGGGAACCATTTACTTTGTTTTATTTCTTTCAATTTTCTTTGTTTTGTTTTCATTTAATAAAAAAATTGTTTACTCAGAAAAACACAATGCATTTTTTGAAATTTTTGGGTTGTAGATCGATTGGAGGTCAGATTGTAGAGACTTGCGAAAAATTCATAAGATCGGTATCGTTTTAACACCTTGAGTCTCCAAAATATGGAAATCGATTTAGATACTTGTTATGGCTTAGTCTTGAGTTCTCGTTCTTTAATAGCTCTTAAGTAGTTTATCTAGCAGTCAGCACCATCTAAAAATCACATGCTAAGTAATTGAGCTTATGCAAATAAGTGAATGATCCCGTGCTTAATAAGAAAAAAAAAGAAAAGAAGAGACAAAGAAAAATGTCTAATTATGAATTGTTGAAAAAAATATGGATCACAGTCACTAACAAGCTTAGTTACCATGCGTGTGAATAGATAAAGGGCTTAATGTGATTGCACTAGAATGAAAGAGAGCAAAAAGGAGGATGAGTAAGTTAGACTTAGGCATAACGACATGATTTGGATTGGTTTGTATAGGAGGGAGTCTTATGATCGCAAAATTGCGGATTTGTGTTCTTACGATATCCTTAGTATGCAAAAGTAGTACCGATCAATGCAATCTTGACCAAAGAGGAGTTCACAACCTAGATTGAATAGCTGAATGTTTTTGTGTTTCATGAGTTTTGACAATACTTTGCTCGGAGTGCAAAAGTTCAAGTGTGGGGGAATTTGATCAGTGCATTTTAATGTACCTTACTCTATGTTTAGACTTAGGCATTTCTACCATTTAGTTTATTTAATTTCCTATTTTATAATGTTTTTACAATTTATTTTATTTTAAGCTTTATTTAATTTTCGTTTGTTATTTTTCAGCATTAATAGCTTTTAGTGAAAAATTCATAACTGGAGCTACAGGAATCGGATTGAGGCATTCTACCAGTCGTTGGAAAGCTAAGAAAGAGATCTACAACTTTCATGTTGCACAAAGGAGCTGATTCGGATTTCTTGAGTCTCGAATAATTCGTTGAAGTTTCTGACTTGTGACAATGTAGTTTTCCTTGCGGGTCTAGTTTAGGTTTCTGGCCCAGTTATTTTCTATTTAAAGTTGTTGTTGTGATGCAAAACAGGGACCTAGTTTATTTTTCCGAATTTTTTTCCTTTGTTTTATAGTTTTCATGGAGAACTAATACCTCCGGGCAAATCCTGCTGTGTACGGTTTCAACACTTTGAGGTTATTATTATGTCAATTTACTCTGATTCCTTTCAATCCTTTTCTATGAAGTCATCTGCTTAATTTGATTACAATTGTTTGCTTAATTCAATTGTTATTCATTGGATAGAATTGGTTAAATTCGATTGTATGCATGTTCCTAAATTTAATTGCGTATTATCGTTTGCTTAATTCGTTAATTCGTCATATTCTTAACCGTTTGCTTAATTCGGTAAACAGGAACATAATTCATTTGATGTTGATAAGCGCTTGTCTGATTAATATCATAATCGAATAGGATTGGTACCGCTTAGGGATTGATGTTATAATAACCGATGATAAGTCGGAACCCGAATCAGTAGGATTAACCATTTTAGTTTATCTGATAATCACTTTTTTTTAATCACTTTTTTTTCTTATTTTATAAATCAAAACTTAAAACCCCCATAAACATTTTCTTTAGTTGGTTGAAATAATACAAGAATCCTTGTGAGAACGATATTTCGAGTCATTTGTCGCTATATTACATTTTTACAAAAATAACTCGTTTTTGATCCACGAGCGACCGCGGATCAATGACTAACACTTTGCTTATCTCCAGTCCACTTATGTATTGGGACTATTTCCTTCAACTTCTTCGTAGGACATCTGTTGAGTACATACGTTGCAGTGGCAACAGCTTCTCCCCAGAGCTTCTGAGGAAGCTTCTTCCCCTTTAGCATGCTTCTCACCATATCAAGCAAAGTGCGGTTTCTTCTTTCAGCAAGACCATTGTGTTGAGGGGTATAAGGAGCAGTAACCTCATGCTCAATTCCATTCTCCTCATAGAACTTATGGAACTCTTTGGAGTTATACTCACCTCCACCATCAGTTCTAAGAATCTTCAACTTCTGACCACTCTGATTCTCAGCCTTCATTCTGAACTTCTTGAATTCATCAAACACCTCATGTTTAAATTTAATAAGGGATACTCATGTCATTCTTGTGAACTCATCAACAAACAACACAAAGTATTTATTCCCTCCAATTGATGCTACTGGAAATGGACCATACACATTAGAATGTACAACTCCCAAGGCATGTTTTTCTCTTGGAGCAGCTTCTGACGCAAATGGCAGTCGTGGTTGTTTTCCTTCCATGCAAACTTTGCATGACTTTTCAGGCTTCTTAATTGTAGGAATTCCATGTACCAACTTCTTTGAATTCAAATGTTTTAAGCTTCTGAAATTCAAATGACCAAATCTTCTGTGCCACAACTCACTCTCCTTCTCAGCACTTGTTGCACTAAGACATTCTGAGTCTGCAGTTCTGACATTCACCTTGAATGTTCTATTACTTCCCTGTTCTGACTCCATAATCAACTTCTGATTGCAGTCATACAGTTTCAGAAGATTGTCCTTCATGGTAACTGAAAAACCTTTCTCAATTAATTGTCCCACACTCATCAGATTGCTTCTGATGCCAGGTACATACCACACGTTCTGAATCAATGTTGTTTTCCCATTGTTCAGAATCACTCTGACATTTCCCATACCTTCTGCATTAAGATATTTGTCATCAGCACATCTGATCTTTGTTCTCTTTTCAGAGTCAAAGTCAACCAGCCATTTCTTGTTTCCAGTAAGATGATTTGAACAACCAGTGTCCATATACCACCAGTCTATCAGATCCATATTATCAGATTCAGAGGCCATCAATAGCACAGATTCGTCATCAGAACTTCTGGTTATATTTGCTTCTTCTGATTTTCTCTTCTTGTTTGACCAACAATCTCTAGCAAAGTGACCAAACTTCTTACAACAGTAACATTGGATCTTCTTCTTGTCATACTTCTCTTTTCCCTTCTGAGCATTCTTTTGTCTATCAGAGGTTGAGCTTTCTGACTTCTGACCACCATCAGATCTTCTCCTGGCTTCTGACTGCTTCTGATACCTCCTATCAGAAGTTGCTTTCAGAGCCTGCTGCTCTACTTCCTTTTCAGAGGTTCTCTCAGATCTTTGGAATGTTCTATTGCTACCACAATGTAATCAAATTGAGGGGTAAGGGATCTCAATACTTTCTCCATGATTGCTTATTCTGAAAGATTTTCTCCACACGTCTTCATCTCATTAGTGATCAGAATCATTCTGGAGATGTATTCAGAGACTTTCTCATTATTCTTCATGTTGAGATTCTCATATTGCTTTCTCAAGGACTGAAGCTTCACCTTCTTCACTGATGCGTCACCACCATAACATCTCACCAGTGTGTCCCACGCAGCCTTTGCTGTTGTTGAATCTGCAATCTTCTCAAACACATTTACATCCACACATTGATGAATGAAGAACAATGCTTTCTGATCCTTCTTCCTTACTTCCTTCTACGCGTTTTTCTGTTCATCTGTTGCATTTGCTGCTACTGGAACATAACCATCAGTGACAAGATCTAGAACATCTTGAGCACCAAACAGTACACACATTTGGATCATCCAACGGTTCCAGTTTTTACCGTCAAATACTGGAAGTTTGGTGTTCATGTTGTCATTTCCGTTCATCTTCTACCTTGCACAGTACACTCAGATTTATCACACAGTGTTTCCCAACCTACAGAATTAAAATTCTGATCAGATTTTGTTCAAGATTCAACACGAATATAAGAATCAAAATCAAACACACAAGACCTCACGTTCACTCGTGTTTCCCGTGTTTCCCAATGAATCAGAACCGGAGCTCTAGATACAAATTGTTGGTGCAAAGGTAGAATAAACGATTAATAGGGAAATATTCTATTAAGAGAATGACGGTTACACACTACTACAAATAACAATGATTGCAACCCTATTTATAAGTTAAAACTAGGGTTACTAGAATAAGATAAAAATACTAAAATACCCTCGAACAAACTTAGGGACTAAGAAAATAGTACAACTAATAAATTTGAATTACTTCTACAAGAATTAACATTTCCTTTTATATTTTCGGATTCAAGTACTCTTCTGCTCATTTATTTGAATCACGTGTTTATAAAAAAAGTAGAAATTTCATATCTATTTCATGAAAAAAACACTTAGATAATAACAAATATAACACTTATTTTACAAGCGACCAATCACATTTTCTTAATTAATTAAATAATAAAAATATAATACTCTCTCTTTTATAATCAAAATCACCCTATAAATTTAATTTAAAAATAAATTAAATTTTAAAGAAATCTAATAGTTTCTCTCTTATTTATTAGTTGTTTGTAACAATAAGGATTTAAGATCGTTTTTTTGTAAATTTTTCTCCTATTTTATTACTAATTGGATGTAATATACCTAATTTTAAAAAATATTCCTAAAATTTATGTTACAGAAAAGAAGAAATTAAAAATATATTTTAGCATGAACTAAAAAAAAATTTGGTAGTATGCCACAGTAGAATATAAAAGAGAGAATCCATTTTTTTTATTGATAGAAAGAAGACAAAAAGACAACAGTATTATTGAATTTCAATCTCATGGAGAAATTACAGAAAACAAAACATGACATTGAAATGAAATCATAACATAAAATCACAATAAAGATTATAACAGTTCACAAACTTGAATTTTTGAATCTATTTTGAAGCAGAAACAAGGAGTTCATATCTAGCTTTGAAATAGACCAAAGTAGGCTCTCTTGCAGGCACAATTTCCTTCACAATCGAATGATTGAGAAATTTTTGGCTCCAATTGTAAAGGTTTGGAAACTTTTCAGCAGTGAAGAATTGAAACCCTGCTACCTCTTGAATCAAAGGGATCGTGAAAGCTACAAACACAGCAGCAATATCCAAGAAACCAATGTCTTCTCCTCCAAAGAACTTGTCCTTCAGCTCATTCTCAAGAATCTGAAGAGCCTCAGATGTTTCCGCAATATTCTTCGCACGCTCTTTCTCATCGTTAAAAGCACGAACAGCTTTAGAAAAAGATGCAACAACCTGATCAATTAAAAAAAATAGCATTGATTAGTATAGTGATATCGAATATTGTAACATTATCAATGTTGCATGATTGCATCAATAACATTCAAGTGCAGGCATAGAAAAAGATAGAAAATTTACCTTGTCCTGGATGAACTTGGACCAAAATCGAACTAAGGCTTTTTGGTAAGGATCAGAGGGTAAAATGGGATTTTGCTTCCAAGTTTCATCAATATATTCAAGAATCACATTAGATTCTGATATAGGCTTCTCATTGTAAACAAAAACTGGAACCTTCTTATAAATTGGGTTGAATTTGAGAAGGAGATCACTTTTGTTGGCCAAATCCTCTTCAACAAATTCGTATTCAATACCCTTCAATTTTAGAGCAATTTGAACACCATGTACAAAGGCACTTCCCACAACTCCAAAAAGTTTCACCTCTTCTTGATGTGTAGCCATTGCATAAATACAATTTTTTATTAAACTATGAAGTGAATTTGTTTTCATGTAAGAGGCCTAACTAAAGTATAATGTGTTTTTATAGAGTATGGAAGGTTCTAATTTAAAAATGCACCGTCCAAATTATTATTTTTAATTTTTTTTATATTATATAATATTAATAATAATAATAACAGTTTTATAAATTTAAGCATTTTATTATTTTTTAAATAGTGTAAAATTGAAGATAGGAATGTCAATAACTTTTTTCCAATATTATTTTTTTTCCTCTTCTAATTCTTTAAAAAATTCTTTTATCTATATGAAGAAAATAAAATCGTACATAGTTTTTTTTTCTTAATATAATATTAATTATATTTCTTAATTAACATAAAATTTAAAAAAATAAAAATTGTGTGATTTGAGAAGAAGTCATTTGAAAAGAAGTGGTGTACACATCATCATTATGTGTATGGACCAAATGAATTAAGTCTGATTCTGGGTTAACAACAACTCATGATTTCTAGTGCTATATATATATATATATATATATATATATATATATATATATATATATATATATATATATATATATATATATATATATATATATATATATATATATATATATATATATATATATATATATATATATATATATATATATATATATATATATATATATATATATATATATATATATATATATATATATATATATATATATATATATATATATATACATATATATATATATATATATATATATATATACATATACATATATATATATATATATATATATATATATATATATATATATATATATATATATATATATATATATATATATATATATACATATATATATATATATATATATATATATATACATACATATATATATATATATACATATATATATATACATATATATATATATATATATATATATATATATATATATATATATATATATATATATATATATATATATATATATATATATATATATATATATATATATATATATATATATATATATATATATATATATATATATATCCATTGAACAATCTAGACTCTTGAAAACTTCTTTTATCATATTTCATTTTTTGTTAAAAACTTAATTTTCTTTAATTTTACACTTGGAAATTAAAAATTAGAAATCTTGAGAAAAATAGAATAGAATTAACTTGGTTTAATATAATACATTAACTTCATTCGATGTATGGATAACCCTATTCTTAACCTATATCATTTTACAATGTTAAAGAAGCATTTCTAACAAAAATGTTTACTATTAAAAAAAATGTACTTTTTAACCGAAACTTCTCAAGTAATGAGCGTCCCAAAAAGAAAAACGTTTTTTTAAATTTTCACTAAGAAAACTTTCATAAAATATTGATTTAATCAGTAAAAAGATCCCTTAAATTAATTTCAGATTTTATTTTAATCATTTATATAATAAAGATTGTATTTTAATCCTTTAAAAACTATTATGAACCTATTTGTTTTAGTTTCTTCTTTTTTTTTTAAATTTCGTTGTATTTTCAAATGTAAATTTTATAAAACCATTTTTAAAAATATTATAAATTTTTTATATCCGTTTTTTATTAATTCAAAACTTGATTTTGATAATCTATAATATAAAAATATATTATTGAACTTCAAAACATAACCGAAATCACGATTTGTTAAGAAAAGTTGTATTTTAAAATTAATTTTTATGAAAAACTATATGAAATAGTTTCAAAATTAATTAATTATTTAAAATTTTAATATTTAAATTTTTTTATAATAAAATATCTAAAATAACATTATAAGAATAACTATTAAAACCAAAATTTTATTTGAAGCTTTTATAAAAAAAAATTTGTAAAATTTTTTTATACAAAAAATTATATAATACTATGGAAATCATTTTTAAGAAAACAAAACTAATGGACCCTATGTTAGTCAAATTAATCGTTCTATTAAATGGTGAGAAAAAAAATTAAGTTGTGATAAAGTATTAAGATCACATGACAACATGACAAAATAGCGAGTTAGCAATTTAGTTAAGAAATTAAAATGAAATTTTATAATTAAGGGATAAGATCATAACACTAACCAAAATGTGATTATGACTAAAGTGATTTGATTAAAATTTCATAATATTTTATCAATTCATAATATGTAATTTATCCCATCAAAATTTCATTTCAACACAATCTTAAATTGAATGACATTAAACTATAATTTTATTATATTCTTTAATTCAAACTAAAGACATTAAACTAAAAATAACTTTAAAACATGTTTTAAAATGGCACATGGTGTACAAAAACATTACTACAAAGATTTACACAAAATATTAGGTACAATCATCTCAAAATATATTTCTTTCTTTTGCACATTGGTCTCTTCCACACAGTTAACTTCTACCTCTAATATAACATATTCTTCTTCTTTTTCAAAGATCGATCATTTGCTCACTAAAAAATGTCTAAAACACTTCTTCTTACGGTGCTTAAGCACAACAGTTGCATATGAAGCTAACCCTTTATCACATGAACTATCTCACTCACCTAATTAAAAAGTGCAATAGACCAATGAGAATGATTATTTAGCTATGTACTAAATGCATGTGTTAGACTTAGTTAGGTTAAGATTTGAATCTAAATTGAATAAAAAGAAATAACACAATATAAAAATTTAGATCTTTCATTACCCTTAATTTGCAAGAGATTACAAATTAAATAGTTAGAGTAAAGACTACCAAATGAGCCATGCCCAACATAAAGAAACAACAAGAAATGAATAACTAGAGAATAATGGTAATCGAAACCCCCATTTTTAATAATAAATTTTTTTAAGAAGAACTGATTTTTTTTTAATGGGCCTCTTAAACTGCTTATTAACAGGATACAATTTAAAGATGTAAACTAACCGCTGAATATAATGCAAGTACTTCCTTCTTTGAAATTCCCTCATTTATGTGAAGTGGGATTTAAAGAAAATGGTGAACAAATATAGCTTTTCGAGAAGGTCTAACTTCTCTCTAACTTTTTGAAAAACAACAAACAAGCATACCATCTTAAATCTATAATTTAGAGAAAAAGAAAGTTAGAAAAAGCATGTTGTAGTTGATGAATCTGATGCAACTTTTTGAATTTGTTTTTAGAAGAAGTAAGTTAGATCAAGTCGCAATTCTTATCTTTTTAAAAATGTCTGAAATCAATACTCATTGAGATAGTGAGGCTACAATGGGATTTTCTATGGAACGGTGTAGAGAATAAAAGGATAATTGATTGGATAACTTGGTCTTAAATATGCAATTTTAAAAAAGATGATGGCTTAGGATTCAAGAGTGGTGAGTGATTAAATATATCTTTAATGTCTAAATTGGTCTAAATGGGACAGGTAACTTTTTTGGATAGTTCTGCTCCTTCTACCCTATTTTGACCTTCAAATATGGAGATATGCAAGGCCAAATATTGGACTTCTTGTGGTATGACCCAACTGTAAACCTCTATTTGGTGGAGGGGTCTTAGGGCTCTATTAGGTGTTTGGGGAGGGGAAGCTAATTGGTTTGGTGTCAACATTTCTTGTAAGTTAGACAATGATTCGGAGGTTGAGTTTTTGAGGAATAGGTGGATAGGGGCTGATTCTTTAATGCTGCAATTTCATATCTTATTCAAGTTCGTCAGGCTGCTAGGCACTCTATTGGTGTTATGGGTCAGTAGCCGAAGGAATCATGGGTTTGGAAATTAATTTTCGTATCTAAGACTATGCATGATGTATCTCAATTGGAATGGGTGGACTTGCAGCTGGTTCTTCACAATATTCATGCTATTTTGGAGGCTGATGATAAGCTCGTTAGGTGGTGAGATGTAGTAGTTTTTTGGTTAAGACCAAATTAGTTAGGTTGGCTTCCATAGCAGTCATTTCAAATTGGATCTCTCTTATATTATAAAGTTGGTTTGAAAATCACTTGTCTCAAGTAATATCCAAGTCTTCGCTTTAATACTTCTTAAAATATTTTAAACTAGAGACAAGCAAGCAAAGAGTGAGGTCTGAAGTGGTAGACATAATTTGGTTTGTCCTCTCTGCTTTTATCCGGAGATATCACATCTTTATCTATTTCTTTTTTGTGTTGTGGCATCTTGAATTTGGGAGAGTATAATGGGGTGGATTGGTGCACTAATCACTACGCTAAAATTGATATTTTGTATCACATAATTTAATAGCGTTTTTAAAAAAAGTGCTATTAAAAAGGAAATAAACATATCTATAATAACACTTTATGGTCGGACGCTATTATAGAGTGTAGACAACGTGATTTTGATAGCAATTTATTAAAAAACGCTATTATTAAAATGGAAACAAACATATCTATAATAGCACTTTTAAAAAAAGTGCTATTAAAAAAGAAACAAACATATCTATAATAGCACTTTATGGTCGGGCGCTATTATAAAGTGTAGACAATTTGATTTTGATAGCACTTTATTAAAAAACGCTATTATTAAACTTCAATAACATAGCACTTTCTTTAAAACGCTATTAATATTCTTTATTAAGATCTCTTATTATAATATATTACTGTGGCAACTGCGAAAAACATCCAGCGGAAAACAGAAGAGTTGTTACCTTTCGTTATTTATCCCAAAGAGAGGGAAAGGAAACGATCGGAAAAATATAACGAAAAAGGGAAGAGACGAGGTCATCGCAACCAAGTCTGGATTCGGGAGTCGGTTACGTAAGGGGAAGGTATTAGCACCCCTCACGTCCGTCGTACTCGACGGGATCCACGCATTGTTGTCTATCTAAAAAGGTGATCAATCTATCTAGCTAAAGGTCAAGGGACAAAAGAAAAGAGACTCGGCAGAGCATCGTCGCTCTGTGCCTACGTTGGGAAAGTCAGAGTCAACGTAGTTCGGCTAACTACGGATGAAGGGGAGAAGGTTGCTCACCAAGACATCGTGTCTTGTGCCTACGTACTTTCATCTGGTATAAAGATCAGAGCAAACGTAGTT